GCGGCCGCGGCCCCGGCAGTGCGCCGCCCGGCGGCGGGCCCGCAGAGGAGCCCGACCTGGTGATCGAGGTGGCCGGGCGCCGCCTCCAGGCGCACAAAGCTGTGCTGGCCGCCAAGAGCGACTACTTCAGGGCGCGCTCGTCGCGGGAGATCCTGCGCATCAAGGGGGTGAGCTACGCGGCGCTGCGGCTGCTGGTGGACTACCTGTACAGCGGGCGAATGGGGGACGTGCGGCAGGACAACGTCGCCGAGGTGGTGGCCGGCGCGCGCTTCCTGCAGATGCCCTGCGCGGTGCAGTGCGCCATGGACGCCATGAGGACGCAGATCACCTTGGCCAACTGCTATCAGGTGCTGAGCCTGGCCAAGCAGCAGCGGCTTGGCGAGCTCCGGGAGGCCGCCTACCGCTTCATGAGCGACCACTACCTCGAGGTGCTGCGCGAGCCGGCCGTCTATGGCCGCCTGACCGGCGCCGAGAGAGACCTCATCCTGCAGCGCAGACTGCAGGGCGGACGCGGCTGCCTCCTGGCGGCCGAGATCAACGACGTCTTCGAGCGCGTGGGGAGCCGGCCGCAGAGCCGCGAGAGCAGCCGGCCGCAGAGCCCGTCGGCCGCGGCCACCGCCGCCGCGCAGTCCCCCGGGGAGCAGCCGTCCACGCCGCCGCCCGCCGCGCGAGCCCCCTCGGAGGACGAGGACGGCCACAGCGACTCAGTCATCTACTACTACCAGGAAGCGGACAAGGAGTGGCGGGTCCTGACCCGGCTGCCCGAGGGGGCCAACGCCAAGGGCTGTGCCATGTGCGTGCTCTACAACTACCTCTTCCTGGCCGGGGGCATCCTGCAGGGCGGCCCCGAGGGGCGGGCCCGCCTTTCGGACAAGGTCTTCTGCTACAACCCGGTGACGGACAGTTGGAGCACTGTGCGACCCCTGGGCCAGGCTCGCTCGCAGCTCAAGCTGTTGGCCCTGGACGGCTACCTGTACGCGGTGGGCGGCGAGTGCCTGTTCAGTGTGGAGCGCTACGACCCGCGCACCGACCGCTGGACCTCCGTGGCCCCACTCCCTAAGGGAGCCTTCGCTGTGGCCCACGAGGCCACCACTTGCAACGGGGAGATTTATGTGTCTGGGGGGTCGCTCTTTTACCGTCTACTCAAGTATGACCCTCGGCGCGATGAGTGGCAGGAGTGCCCGTGCAGCAGTAGCCGCAAGAGGTCCGCTGACATGGTGGCCCTCAAGGGCTTCATCTATCGCTTCGACCTTTGCGGGGGCCGCGGGGACCTTCAGGCAGTGGCTGGTCCAAGCGGAGGAGTCAATGTCTTTCGCTACCACTGCCTGGCCAAGCAGTGGAGTCAGTGTGCCTCGAACCTGCGGCCCCCAGGTGGCCTCTCGGGTCTGCAGCCTTTCCGCTGTGCAGCCTTGGATGGAACCATCTACTGTGTGAACCGTGCTGGCACCTGGCGCTTCGTGCTCTCCCAGGACCGGGAGGCTGGAGAGGATGGGGGCCAGAAGGGCAACTTCGAGCCAGAGTTGCTCAAAGCCCCCTTCGATGCCCGAGGTGTGCTTTTCCCTTTTGTGCTCACGTTACCGGAAAAGCCGGACAAAGGGGAACAGGGAACCGCATAGGGAGAACCGCGGGCAACCAGGGCTCCTCTGGGCGAAGGAAATGACCCACGTAGGCTGAGATCCCAGAATGGGAAATGGAGGGGAAAGTGGAGGCGAAGAGAGTGTGTGAGCGCAAGCTGCTGGCGATGCTGGATCATTTGAACACTTTCAATTTAGAAGCTTGTCATAGGGCCTTGAAAATATTTTTGCAATACTGTTTAAAGTATGCTTTCCTATTCTGCATCCCCTGTTGCTTTACATTGCTAAATGAGGTCAATGAGGCAAGATGTAGGTTGCAATCATAACCTTCTAAACAAGACATAGGAGACCTAAGGGAGAAGGCAATGGAACCAAAAGATGAAGCTCTGGCTTCAAGGTACAGCGCAAAGGATCCACAGTGTGTCCTGAGTGCTCAGGGGCTCCGAAGGGAAATGAAGAGTAGGCCACACTTAATGTTCTGAAGAGCGACTCCAGGGTGCACAACACCAGCACCACTTACTATTGGGTTTTGGTGGGGCAGTGGTTAAAGCACTTAGCTGCTAACCAAAAGAGCAGCGGTGGAAACCCACCAGGACTGAGTCAGCAAGGTTTGTTAGCATAGAGTCAGGTCTATAAAGTGGGCCAACCTGAGGTAGTAGTAGAACCAGGGAAAGAAAGTCACACTTTTTTTTTGTCTTGAGGTTTAAACCGATAACATAAATAAAGCGCTTACAGCTTTGTAACATAGGCAAAAAGTTCTTGCTACTCAATTTTAAATTTTGTTGGCTCAATTCCTAAAAAAACAATAAGCATTAAAGGTAAAGTCTATGATTACCAATATTATTTCCTCTCCTAGAAGCTTTGCAATGATTTCTTTTACTTATGTAAAGAATGGTTTCACTTCACTCTGAACTAAGATTTAACAATTTTTAGGTAAAGAGATGTTAATGATAGTGATGATTTGCCATCATTTGGGTGTTAGACCTTAGGTAACTAATGCTCACAGATGACCCTATCGTCATTAGAAAAACCTTCCTGACAAGGATGGTTGTTTTTTTTAAAGAAAAAAAAATAAACACTATAGTTGCCTTTAATAAGCATCTATATATATGTGCAACTATCTTCAATTTCTATAATGAGCTGAAATATTCCTGAAAACAAAATAGAGTAAAATTGTGTCTTTGGTTCTGAAAATAAGTGTCAGCAAATCTCTCATACATTCTGAACCCATCACTTAACAGTGTTTTAAAATATGTATTATGCAATTCTAATGTGGGAAATTAGTTTTTACAAGTATCTTTCTATGAAAATGACAGAATGACAAAAGATATTAACATAAAGGGGAATAAACATTTTTAATGAGTTAGTAATTAAGGTAAGTTAGCATAATTATGAATTCCAAAATACCTTAAAGAAATTGGCATAAAACTCACTGCTTTGCCAGAAAGGATTGAGACAAGTCAGCTGATAGTCCCTTACTTGTTATATTTTTCATATATGTCTTGAGAGGATTTATTATTTACTAAATTTCAGGATGAGTGTGTGTGTATATATATATGTATGTATATATATATATATATATATATATATATATATATACATACACACACACACACATATATATACATACATACACACACACACACTTGCAAATAGGCAAATGGATTTGAAGTCTGAATCCAAACAAATTCTTATATTAGGAAATTATACATTTAAAGTTACTGGAGCATAATTGGATTAAATAATGCATACCTTAATAATTTTCTAGTTAATCTAGTGATTGAAGTTGTCATCTCTGTAGAAATCAGTGGATATTTTGGAAGTAGATTGTGCTTGTTTGAGAGTCTGTGGTTATGAAGAGTACCAGATAAGTACATTGAAAATGATTGGCTTGAAACTTCTGCATGTCCAAAAGGAATGGAATTTATTATTTCAGTCAGAGTTTATTCTGGTGATTTTGTATGCTTGCTAATGATTACTCAAGTACTGGAAGAGGATATCTTGGCAATTTGGTTAATCATCTTAGGAAAGCAAAACAGACTTTGTATTGCCTGACTTTATTGGCCTTTCAGAAGGGTATACTGAAGACATTATACATTGTTCTAAGAAAAAGTACTTCTGGCAAAAAAAGAAAAATAATGTTCTAAAGAAATGTACATTTCACATTACAGGACATTTTCCTTTAAAATTTCTTATTCAGGCTGAAATTTTATGCTGGAATCAGGCTACCATTTTCATGCTTTAAATAGCAGAACACTATGATTGTATTTGTGGCATCCCTTCCTAAACAGCATGCCTCTGGAAACTCTGTGAACTTTGATAAATAAATGGTGAGGGTTGTGGAAGGGCTTCAGGCCATTTGTTCATAGGGTCACTATGAGTCATGCTCAACTTGCTGGCAATCAACAAAACAACAAATGGAAAATAATTTTTATTGCTTAACAAGAACATTTTGTAGCTTGGCTTCTATAATATAATCACTCACATAAAAGGATTTTAGAATTTTAAGTTCAGGTACAGGCAGCTACACAATGACTTGCCCTGGTGGAATTTCTGTGTTTCATCATTCCATTCAGTAAAGGAGTATCTTTACTAAACATAGCATCACTTTATGTGGGAATTGGAAACAGAATCCCAGGGTTTTCTTGTTATCTTTTAAAAACAAAATCCACCCAGAACCTGAAGGATAGTAGAAAAGAATTGCCATCAGTCACTAGCTACCTAATTTTGAAATGAGTATCTAGCCACCCAAAGCGATGCTACCAAGCCAAAGGTGGGTGACTTTTAATCCGCGGCCCTCGGGCCTGTCTCTCATTGTTTTTGTTCAGACATTCCTCTAGGTCATATTAGCCCTGGTGTACAAGTTGCTGTACAGCAGTAACTTGTGGTTGTTGTGAGGCTGAACACTGCGACACTGATGTGTCAAATGTGTTATGGTTGGTTACCCAATGCGGAGGGAGAGCGGGGTGGAGCTCCCCGATTAAAACAAACTTGGAAGGAGGCGTGGCATCCACTTATGTAATAGCTTGCCTCCTGAAACCCTATGAGCCTGGAGAGAGGATGAGACACACAAGCATTGAGACACACAACTCCTTCATAGAGTTGCTATGAGTCGATGGCACTTAACAACAACAAACTAGCCACCCAATTTTGAAAACACAGAATATTATATATTATGAGAATTTCCATGTAGCCTGGTGATCTTCTAAAAGTCAGCTTTGAAACTCTTTTGGAAAATAGTTGTACATGGCACATATTAATTACTGTTATCAGAATTGATTTGACAGCAGCTAACAAAAATGACGATCTGGAATGTGGAATCCTAAGAGTTCTTATCAGTTAAATGAACTGAAAAGTCATGCTCAGGTTCTTAGATTTGAAAGAGTGCTATGTGGAGTTTGCCAATCATTGTTGATACTTATCTTTAGAGACCTGGTGCTCCAAGTCCTTCATAGAGGAGGTGGTATTCTAATTCAGAATCCAGAACTGTTGTACATAACAGTTACTGCAAAGATATTCCTGATCATTAGTCAGCTAAGAGTTTAAAAAAGTAACACATAACACAATGACAGTCATCAAAATGCTCATCCAGTTACTTAACACATGCACACTGACATTTCCACATACTTGAGAGGAAAGTGTGGTATCCATGAAAGCTTGGTCTTTTGGTAAAAAACCAATGACTTGTTTTGTTTAGCAAGGTTTATTTAAAATTCAAAGGAACTAGCTTAAGACTTCTTTCTTGTTTTTGTTCTTTAGGTTGAGAACCACTCTCAACACCTAATATTGACTCTTGGCAGCTTTGTGGCACCAGCAATTATTGGCCTTGGAATTTAGAGATCTGTTTTCTGTGTTTCTGATGACATCCACTTTGTTTCCTTTAAGAGAATTTATGCTATTATTTAGTTAAAACTCTTAGTTTTATCAGTCTTGCTGCAAGTACTTAAATAAATTAATCATCTATTCCATTTCTGCTAATTTTTAGTGTCAGTTTAGTAATTCTAGCAACAGTTATTTATTCTGTTGGTCTCTTAGGTAACTTCCTGTAAGAGATTTGAAAACAATGTTTTTTGAAGTCCTTTTACCTTCTCTTAAAGTCAAGGTACATTCAGGACATAATATATATTAACATTGAATAAGGTATTATAAACAAAAGTACTCTTCTATTGTATTTTAGATGCTTCCTTAGTTTATAAAAAGTTATATATTTTTGCATTAAAATTTTATTTTCTTGTTTCTCTTTTTCTTCAACAATTATTCATGAAAATAAAATGACGTGAACTAAAAATGGAAATGTGCGAACATTTTCATTGCCTCAGTAGCTGCATTACAGTTGACCCTCAATATCTGCAGTTTCCACCAGATCTAAAGGATTGGGATGAGGACAGCCAGTAAGTGGTCAAAGCAACCCTTCAAGGTTAAGAGGGAGAGTAAAGTGATGTTTACATAGCTTTACATTATATTAAGTATTATAAATAATCTAGAGAGGACTTAAAGTATATGGGAGGATGTGCAAAGATTACATGCACAAATCCTATACCGTTTTATATAAGCAGCCTAAGCATCTCTAGATTTTATTATCTGAAGGAATCCTGGCACCATTCTTCAGCAGATACTGAGGAGCAACAATTTCTACACTTATTTCCATATCCAGGAACAAACCTGGACCATGTGACATTCACTGCCTTGCACAGAAGCAGGCACGTGTGTGCTTTGTAACATGTTTCACAAATTGAATTGAAATGGGGCAAAAATAGATGTATTCTAATGTTAAATCTACTTCAAAGCTTTTAAAAACTCTGAATAGTACTTAAATGCCAACATATATTAAAGATGATGTATACCTGTTTAAGGCACAATTCAGGTCAGCTGTTACTAAATGTGTAGTTAATGTATTTATTAACATTTCAGTTTTATAATCCTAGGCATAAATACTGTAAACCATTTTCTCTGTGTCAACTTATGCTGAGATGAAATAAATATGTGCACAATGCTCTTCACATCCTTGCAACATTTGTTTGTCTTACTCTCTCTCACCAGCA